AGAACGCTATGAGAATTAGCAAAGATTTTTAACTGAATATGAAATGTTTGAGAAAACAATATAAATGTAAATTATTACTGAAACTTGAATATATCTACAAAAATAAGGTATGAATAACAGAATACATTCATAAAACACAGAAAGATAAAGGTATTATGCAAAGATGTACAGAAATACCCAACCCTAAATTCCATATAAAGGACTTTTGAGGGGATGGGGTTGTGGCTCAATGGCAGAGCACTTGACTAGCACATGTGAAGCATTGGGTTCAATCCTCAGCACTACATACATACATACATACATACATACATACATACATACATACATAAATGTATTGTGTCCATCTATAACTAAAATTTCAATAGCTTGAAAGCTTATAAATAGGAATTAACCAAAATATTTTTAAATAAAACTTCCCTTTTTAATTCCAAAGTCTACATATACACATATACACTGATCTCTTAATAATATAGTAACCCTAAGTTGTAGACAGCTCACTATATTTAGAAACTTAAGTTAATCTTGATACAGTTAAAATAATTAGTCATAATTATAGTCATAATTAGTCATAGATCAGAGTGAAATCTGCTTCCTTTATAGTACCAAACAATAACTAAGGACACATGAGGCACTTCCTTCCTTATTGTATAGTGTAATTCATTATAAAATAATCAGTTTCATTTAATTATATATATTTTTAAACCACACGTTTAAAATCAAAGTGTTCAAACAAAAATTCCCCGGAAAACTTAAATGTTCACATATTCAATATTTTTGTGGTTAATAGGGAAACATTTATCTGTTAAGATTTGGGGGCCTTCAAATACACTGAAATTAAAAGCAGAAGTGTGTACATTTTTCTAGGAAGAGATTCATTGCTTTTAGAGATTTTAAAACGGGTCAATGATGTGATAATAGTCACTGCTTTGGGTGAAAGTTTTGTATAAGAGGAACTTTCCCATGAGTTACTGAAAATGTTAAGAGATAAAACTTGGAATAACTTTCCCTAACAACAAGACCTGTAATTAGCAGGAAGATACACCAGTTCTAAGACTATGCTGAAGTTTATACATATTTATGTTTTTATTTAGAGCTTGGAAAGAAAACTAAAACTAAAAGATGAGTAAACAATGAAAAATGTTTGTTCAGATAGAAGAATGGTTGTAACAACCTGTGTTATTGCTAGCAGTACAGATATCTATGGGCAAGCTGTACCAAATTTCTGAACTCATTCAACGTTTGTCCAAGTATCTATTATCCTTTTTATGTATTTTTTTCTTTTTCTGACCTTTACAAAATGGAGCTCCTTTTAGAATATCTCTTTAGCAAACAGTATCTAACACCATGCCACCACTCTGAGAAATAAGTCCTGTGATTTTAATAAATGAGAATTCATTTTCCTCAATAATCAAATGAACAATTTTATCCTGATTTATTATTTTAAAAAAATCAAACTAATATTCTCTTAAGAAAAGTAAAGCTATCTACATTTTTAAAGGTTATTCCTGATACCTTGAAATATAACACATTATCATTACATTTCAATGTAATGGGAATAAAAGTTCAATGGGAATAAAAGGAATATAACTAATACTGGTATTTCATGCCCAACAGAAATTAGGTACAAGGAAGATAGAAAATGAACCTTAAATTTCTAGCCTAAACTCCAAGCATTTAAACTATGATGTATTTTACTATTTTCCAATAAACTTGTAAGTATTCTAATTAGGCAAGGATCTAATTAGGTAGAGCCATAGGAATTATGAAAGCACATCAACAATTAATAAGGATCAGAAATCTTTTCACAGTAAAACCCTTCTCATAAAAACATCAAAGGAAAAAGACAACTTAAAATAATGGACTTTTCTTTTCAACAAAGTTGATCATTCAGGCAGAAAGGGTTGACAAAGAATTGACCTCTGTCACTAAGCTTGTTAGCAAAGACCCAGATAAAGAAAATATTATGTTAATGAATCAAATGAGTGACACAGAAATTACCCTCACATATATACTGAGATTATGCATTTTGGGACACAATGCAACTCACACCCATATACAAAACAATTTTATCCTTCCCTAGATATATCAGATAAGTCTCCTGGTTTTTAGTTATTTCAGTTCTAATAAGGAGGAATAGGATTTTCCAAACCACTGGACAGAAAAAAAAAACTGGACTATCAGAAATGGTTCTTGCTGAAACCTCTTAGGATTTCTGGCTCTACTACTGAATTCAGTCAATGGGATAGTGAGGGAGTTTATGAAAAGACTCTTGCAATACCACCTGTGTTTCAGAGATATTAAAAAATTGAAGGAAAAAACATGTACCAGAATGTCTGTCATTACTTAAGGGAAATTTAAAGGTTTAAAAAAGTTTGGAAAAGTTTAAGAGGGTCAATGACTTAAGATCCTAAAGACAGATTTTTAAAAGTGTTCTGATTTAGCTTAAATTAATGGAGGTATTTAAAGGGGGAACTGACGCTGTGGTAACTAAGATAAAATTTCTCGTTTAATAATGTTGATAATGTGATCAAACTCCCTTAGTATTAAAATATCTCAAGTCCTATTAAGGCTCAGTCTACTCAAAAATCTGAGTTTTTCAAAGCAAAAAACATGTTAGAAATGCACAGGTTGAAAGGAGTTTAAACAACCCTGAAATAAATGGATAAAAGTAGCTCATGTGGCAAAGAAACAAATGTAAAGAACATTTTAAAAACTAAATGATGATAAAACCCACAAAACAAACTAAATAGGCTGTGGGAGACCAACCTTGCACACTCCCCAGCTGGGTGCTGAGGCGCTTAGTCATAGAAATGTGGCAGCGCTTTCCCCACCCTTCTTGGGTTGGAGGGTTGGTGTCTCTTGCATGGGTGTGTCTTGCTACAGCCCCATGAGTGGAGCTAATACATGTTCCTTTGTAATATAACTACTTGCCCTGTTTAGGATAGAATCTTCCATGGAAGTGCCTTGTGTGTGTCCCCTTCCCTTACTGTGCCCTTGGGTGTGGCCTACCCAGGTGTCAGTCAACCTGCTGACATCATGAAGATAGACTCAGCCCCCTGAAACCTAACCCCTTGCCTCATTTGAAAAGCTTCTCCTCAATAAAAGAGGTCAGCGCATGCTCTCGCTCTCTTTCTGCAGACCCTTAAGATCAGAGGAGCCGTCACAGCGACCCCAAAGAAAAAGGTATTTGTGCCTCTTGTGCGGTTATTTTGTGCAGCCCAGTCAGCCCAGTTTTCCTGGAGTGACCCCTGAGCCTTTTAGTGGAGAACCAAAACCCGGCAATAGGCCCCACAGAAAACATTTACAGATAATTATAAAAACAAAGAAAAATGATGATCTCAAACTTTCCTTTCTATTAACTGTCTTGAATATTATCATTTTTACATTTCTTACAAGAAAGCTTAGAATTAATCAATCGATCTTTAACTAATGTTACTATTAAACAATTTTGATGAAAGATTGAATGTTTTCAATCTAAAATTAGTAACTAAGCAAGAATGTCTGTCCTCATCATTTCTATTCAACCTCATATTGTAGGTTTTAGCTGGCATATTTAAAACAAAGAAAAAGGCATCCAGATCAGAAAGGACTCTCTTTTTTTCAACAGCTCACATAATCATTATATAGAAAATTTTATGAAATCTACAAAAAAGCCAACAGCACTAATAAATGAGTGTAATGGGATTTCAGAATTTAAAATCAATACATTTAACATATCAGCTTTTTGCATACTAGCTATGAATCTCAAACTAAAAGAAAAAAAATACAATAGCATCAAAAATATAAAATATATATTTATTTTTTAAATGTGCAAGATCAATATACTGAAAACAACAAAATATTGCTAAGAAATATTAAGACCTAAATAAATGGGGAGAGATGTAGTTTTCATGAATTGGAAGATTCAATATTGTTAAGATGTCAGTTTTCCTCAAACTGACCTACGAATTCAACACAATACTAATCAAATCCCAGTAGCCACTTTTAAAGAAATTGATATGATTCTAAAAATTCAAATAAACATGAAAGGAACCTAAATTACCAAAAACAACTTATAAAAGGAAAAAACTAGGAGGATTTAAACTACTTGATTTCATTACCTATTAAAAAGCTACAGCGATCAATATAGTGTGATACAATAGAGGAATAGGCACATAGGTCAATGGAACAGACCTGTGTGTTTATCCAAGAGAAATATAGGATAATCTGTTACCCAGGAGAAAGAAGGCATATGTCTATACAAAGAATTGTACATAAATGTTTACCTGCAATAACCCCAAATGGGAAACAAACCAGATATCCATCAAAAGGTGAAAGGAAAAACAAATTATATTCCAGCCATATAATGGTATACTATTCAGCCAAAAAAAAAGATAAAAGAAAAAGAATAAGTGATAAGTGCAAGAATGTAAATGAATCTCAAAATAACTACTGAGTCAAAGAAAATTACCATATGATTCCATTTATATTAAGTATGAAAAGATGAAGATTCATCAATGTCATAAATCATGTTAGTGTCTGCCTAAGGACTAGAAGGGAAAAAGGAAGGACAAGAAAGGGAAATTTCAAGGGACACCAGTAAACTGGGGTGAAGTATGTTAATTATCTTGATTGTGGTGATGATTTTCACTAGAGTAAGCATGTCAAAATGTATCAAATTGCACACAGTTATTATCTGTATTATCTTTATCATCAATAATACTGCTTAAAAAATTTAAGGTCAAAAAGGATTTCTGAAAGATGATTCGGTATAAATTTCAATGTACTCTTCAAAATTAATCCTGAACTGTTCTGGTCAAAATCAACTCTAACATTGGCAAAAATATTAAAATAATTCCCCCCAAAAGCCAAATGACTTCTGTAGAAATATTCCAGAGTCAATGAAATTACTACTTGATGTTTGAGATATTTTTGATATGGTGATGGTTATTAGCAAGGTTTGGGTGGTTTCTGGACAAGTGAATGTCTAGGAATAGTACACTAAAAATGAATAATCATACCTTGATTTGTGCAAAGGGTCTCTCATAACCTCCAACATAGAGAAGGCCAACATTCTGGGGAAGTAACCTATAAGGTGGAAGAAGAAGCATTATTTATAAAATACTCTTCCTTAAATGTAAGGTTGTGCTATGATAAAAATTTATATGAAAAAAATTAAATATCTATGTATAATTCTTGTATTTTGTACTATGGGATAGTAACCAGCAAATTAATAATTCTTACATTTCAGAAAATAGTGGGTAAAATGTTAAGAATGAAAACTTACATGTAGAATAACTTATTAGGAATTCTAATAAAATTACTACATAGCATCTCTGAGAAAGAAGTAAATGAAATTATGCATGTATTTAAATATTCAATGCATGTCAATACTATGCACTACAAGAAATAAACCTAAATAATTCAGTACCAAAAATTCAACAGAAAAAACCTGACACAACTCTAAAAACGCAGCTACCGATAAGTTGTATCATAGTATTTATTTATCATAAGAAAGCAGTAGGGCAAAAGGTGCTTGCTATGGAGGGATCTAGAAAAGTTTGAAGAGATGAAATTTGAACTTAGCCTTAAAGGGAAAAATCTAAACAAGTTCCTGAGAACAAAGAGAAATCAAGACAAAAAGGAGACAAGGAATAATTTTGTTGGAGATGAGAACTGAAAAAAATTAGGAATGGAATATGAATAATTTTAAATGACAAATATTGTATTTTGAAGTAATTTGGGATCATATTTTTAAAAATATGCTTTATAAAACAAATGCATGCAGAAATTTTAAAAAAACATATAGAGGACGTAAAATTAAGAAATAATGGTTACAGCTGGGTATGGTGGTATATGCCTATAATCTCAGCAACTCAGGAGGCTGAAGCAGAAGGATTCCAAGTTCATGGCCAGCTTTGGCAAATTAAAAAGACCTTGTCTCAAAAAAAAAGTGATGGAGGTATAGCTCAATGGTAGAACACTACCTCCCCCAGTTCAATTCCTAGTACCCACACCAAAAGCAAGAAAAAGTGATTATAATCCCTACTTATTCCTTGTTCCTAGTTCCACTTTTAAGAGGTCTATCATTCTTGATTGCACTAAAACACTGTGAATGAAAAAATACCAAATTTAGATCTATATTTGTGAAATGTGTAGAGGAACTGGTAGTGGTGTACGCTATGGGAAAGACAAACATTCTTATGTTTAATTAAGCTAAATGTAGATATATCTCATTCTTCTTTTATCATAAATAATTTCTTAATGGACATCATGAATAAACAAAAACAACTCCAGTCTTAATACTACTATAAAGAAAAAGAAAAAATAATTTTCTGACTTCTTTGCTGAGTTTCTAAAACAAGACACTTAAGAGTATGGATAGTTAGAATAGCCTTTAAAGGCAGATAACAAAAAGCTAATGATCTCTTGGATAGCTGTAAATTCTATCACACGAATCTGAGAATGGAACACCAAGGGGTATATAAAGGAAAAAAAAGCCCTGCAAACTGAAAATATTCTACTGGAAAATTCTTAATATACCATACTGTCCTGATGACAGAAAATTAGAATAATCAAGATTATCATAACCATCTTAAAATTTCAGTTAGTGGCTTAAAAATCCTGCTTCAACAATTCCAGGGTACACACGTATACATAGCTTCTCTGAAACTGGGGTGCTTTTGATACTTGATGATATCTTATAATTGATGTCACCATCAATTGTATCAACAGTGTAAGGTGATAGTGTTATTACTTTCCACTGACAGGGACTAATAAGATCATGAAAGTACACTCTCAGAGCAACTTAGATTCTGTGAAATAAAGGAACACTTTTTCCAATCTCCTGGGAACAGCTTCTGTTATGTACATTGTATAGTGTCTATAAAGCACTAAAGGTCACTAACAATATTAATAAGAGGATGAACACAACCTGAATTAAACCAACTTAGTAAAAAGTTTTTTATTTTTGAAATACAATGATAAAATGTAATAACACATTAAAATACTGTTGAAGGCTACAAACAAAACTTCAAAAGCATTTGTTTACTGGACTCAAGTAGAAAGTATAGAAAAAGTCCCCAAATCTTAACAGAGAAATGGAGAATTTCTTAGCCATTACTTGACAAATAAGAAACTAATCCAACTTTAAACCATTTCTGGTTCCACAAATTTGGTATTAGCTATATAGACCAGTGGTAATTTATTTCCTGTATAGCAAATGTTCACAGAAAGCTTGATAAACCCTCTTCAGAAGAAATAATCACTGTTCATACAAATAGATGCTAGAATAAAAGAGAATAAAAGTTGGCTGACATTTAAAAATTCAATGTTTCTAATTACTATGTATATACATTTCAGGATGCTTGCCAATATACTATTTAGTGTGCTCCCTCCCTTCAACATGCCTATCTAATAACTACCCTTTTCTAAGCAAATTTCCTAAATGTACCTGTTAGATAGCATATTTCACTTTTAAATTTTAGTTCTTTCTTATTCATGTACCTATTATTCCTTACCATATATTTTATTACTACTTTCATTTGAATAGTAGTAATACTTTCAGTATCATATTTTAAAGGCCTGCTAAGTGTAAGATACATATTTTTAAAATGGAGCATTTCTTTAAATGTTTTTACCTTTCAAAAAATTATTTTTTCAAATTGCATACATAATTACTACCAGTAATAGGCACCATTTTATCATGACAGGGTGCTTGTATACAATAAAGCAATTGCACATTTTAAATCCCCAGGGTAAGGTATTAATTCAGAACTGATAGACACATTTGTAAGTATATTTTAAAACAGAAGTCCTAACTCATTTAAAACTAAGTAATTGTTTTGGCCTTAAGTTAGGTGAACATTACCATAACCTTTATGAAAATGCTAGCAAACTCTAAAACATTTGCTTGTAACTCAATTCTTCTATGTGTGGCTACCAAAAAGGATATTTTAGGAAAGCAGCAATACAGAGGGTGTGTGTGTGTGTGTGTGTGTGTGTGTGTGTGTGTGGCGGGGCGGGGGGGGTCCTACTACAGCTTTTGAAAAAGCAAGAATAGGCAAGATTAATACCGATTCCATTTTACTTTCAATATCCCAAATACAAATATTAACAAATACTTATCCTTAAAATAAAGTCATCGTCGCCCCCACCCTCTGACAAAAAAAGAAAATCTCAATATTGTTTTCAGAAATTTTTCACAAAAAGGAAAAGAAAAAAATCTATCAGGTAATAGAAGAAAGATTATTTAAACAAATTTCATATATCAGGCATATACTGATACATCACATATTCTTATGCATTACACACAGAAAAGCTGCATTAAAGGGAAATTGAATGTACATCTATTTCAAATTTAAAAAATTTTAAAGAGATCTTTCAAAAAATGCTAACTAAAAATTAACTGTTCTATCTGTAAGAATATAGTGTCGACTACTAGATATATTCTTAAATTACAAAGAAAAACCTTAAAAGAAGTTACAGTATTTTGAATACCGATTTATTTAAAAATCCCACTTTTTAGTCAGCAAGTTATCTAAACATCAAATTCATCCAATGTATGTACTAGGTGAAAAATCAACAACCCAAACCAAGCACTACAGTAACAGAAAGCAAATGCACTTAACATGAAATCAATGGTAACATTTTGATTAAAAGAAAATGAGAAGACCTCTGAATCTTCTAGTAGGATATAAATTTTAAAAGCACGCCATAGGGCAAAAGACAGGGTCTCACTTAGTTGATTAGGGCCTTGCTAGGTTGCTAAGGCTGCCCCTGCCCTTGAACTTGTGTTCCTCCTGCCTCAGGCTCCAGAGTTACTGGGCTATAGGTATGCACTAGCATAACTCACCACAGGGCAGGTTTCAAGCAAATGATTCAAACTGTAGTTTCAGAACACAATAATTCAGCTAGAAATCAATAACAAAAAATAACTGGAAAATCTCCATGTCTGAAAAGATAGATGTATACTTGTAAATAATCCATAGGTCATAAAGGAAGTCTCATTTGAAATTATAAAATATCTTGAACTAGATAATGAAATAACAAAAAAACTGTGGTGTGCAGCTAAATCCAGTTTAGAGAGAAATCTATCATCCCAATATATACATACATATATGAAATGCTTAAAACAAATTGATGAGTTATGTATCAACCTCAAGAAATTTAGAAATAATCAATTAATCCAAAGAAAAAATAATAATGAGCTAAAAGTTATGAAACAGAAAAAGTTCAGTAGAGAGGAAAAAAATATTAAAAACTATTTTTTAAACTAACATTAAATTGATCCCTAATTAAGACAATGAGAAGATAAATAATAAGAGGACATTATAAAGACTTTTATACCAACAAGTTCCAAAATTCAGAATAGAAAGATACAATTTAGTAAAGCCAATATAACAAAAAGTAGAAAATCTGAGTAGTGTTACTATAGAACTTTTAAAGTTATTTCTACCAAGGAAGCAAATGGCCTAGATGGACTTACCTGTAAATGCTACTAAATATTTCAGGAAAAATTAATTCTAATCATACATAAGGCACACAAAGCAAGAAATATTTTCCATTTATTTGACATTTGGATGCAAAATCGATGTTGATCAAGACAGAATAAGACAAGCTATAGACTGGATGAGAATATTTGCGAAAAACATATGCAAAAGGCCTGAAAATTTTTGCATAGGATATTTATGAAAAAGAACAGTTATCTGAAATATACAAAAAAAGAAACCTCTTAGAACTTGGTGATAAGAAAATAAATAGGTAAATAAAATTACCTATCAGACAGCGGGTAAAAGATGTGAACAGACACCTCACCAAACAGAATATATATATAACAAATAAGCATATGAAAAGATGTTTGGCATCATATGTCATATGTCATTAAAGAAGTACAAACTGAAACAATAAAATACCACTACACACCCTTGAGAATGGTCAAAATCCATAACACTGACATTACCAAAGGGTGGTGAGAATAAGGAGCAACTGGAACCTGTTCATTGCTGATAAAGACTGTGGTTTCTTATTATAACATCCTGATAATATGTAATCCAGCAATCACACTCTTTAGTATTTATTTATCCAGA